ATCGCCTCGGGCCACACACCACCTGCCCTGGCCGCCGCTGACACCAGCTGCCTGGGAGGCCTGCCTGCTGGTAGGTGTCCAGCCTAAGCAGCCCCTCTCTGCACTGCCCGCCTTCCCTCCCCCTCCCTCTCCCCCTCCGCTGTGCGTGAAGTCTCTTTCTCTAAACCCCTCCAAGCGCAGGCAAAACTCCCCTGGATGCCAGTCCTTGTTGTCTGTGTGGGAACTCCAAGCTACTTTGGATTAAAGTTCTTTAAATCTGCATTTTAGGTAAAAGATGTGTCTAGTCAGGGGTGGGCAAACTTTTTGACTCGAGGGCCACAATGGGTTCTTAAACTGGACCGGAGGGCCGGAACAAAAGCATGGATGGAGTGTTTGTGTGAACTAATATAAATTCAAAGTAAACATCATTACATAAAAGGATACGGTCTTTTTTATTTTTAGTTTTATTCATTTCAAACGGGCCGGATCCAGCGGGGCTCACCCACCTGGGGGCGCAGGGGACCGCCCTCTGACCCTCAAACACAGTGGCCTGAGGTGTCAGCAACAGATAATGAATCTTGATCTGAATGAATCAAAAGCCTCAATTTCAGAAACACTTTTGGCATCAGCCAAGCTGACACGAGCCCCTGAAGGTAACATGGCAGGCGGGATGGCCCGTTAGAAGATGTGTCTAGTCAGGGGTGGGCAAACTTTTTGACTCGAGGGCCACAATGGGTTCTTAAACTGGACCGGAGGGCCGGAACAAAAGCATGGATGGAGTGTTTGTGTGAACTAATATAAATTCAAAGTAAACATCATTACATAAAAGGGTACGGTCTTTTTTTTCAATAGTTTTATTCATTTCAAACGGGTGGATCCGGCCCGCGGGCCGTAGTTTGCCCACAGCTGGATCTAGCTTATCCTCCTGTCTCCCATAATGCCTTGCCTTCAGAGTAAGCCTTCAACGAATGTCGTTGAAATAGCCCAGAATTGGTATAAAATTTCATGCACCCGAAACCGGCCACAGCATTAGTTAAAATGGCAAAACAAGACAAAGCAAAACTAGAACAATCCAACAGCCCGATACCAGGGGTGGCATAAGCAGAGAAGTGCACTACCCGTAGGCTTCGGAATGTTGTGCAGCCAACGGAAGTACATGCTGCCAGTGAACCTGTGATGGAGAATCCTTAGCGTCCAATGACAGCACCGAAAACCGAGACAAGACGGCACATGCCGTGGTCACAGCTCTACAGCCAATAAAGCAAAACAGAACCACTACCCCATACAAACGGTGTAGACAGGTTGGGAGGCCTTGCCGTTGCGTGTTCATGGGCCCGGCCTGCGTGAGGGGCGTGGGCAGGAGGGCGAGGCCCCGCCCCTGTGCCCCCAGCCTCTCCCTGGCACAGTGCCTGGAGGCCCCTGGGGGAAGGACAGTTGTCTGGTGGATGGAGCCACAGCTGGAAGGCTGTTTCCTTATTTTCCTCTTAGGCACTCTGAGAATCTTCCAGACGGGCAGCCATTGCTTAACAAACAAAGCGCTCTTAACGTCGGCTGAGCTGTTTGCCGGCCCTTGCTTTGCAGCCACCAGTGGGCTGTCCAGGCGTGGACTGGACTCTGGGCACCCTCCCTGGGGCCCTGCACAGGGCGGGCTCTGCCCTCGAACCGCGTGGAAGGGTGCCCGCGGCGAGGGGGAGCGGGGGCCCAGGGAGGGCCCACCCACCACCCACCACCCACCCTTCAGGGCTCAGCCTCCAGGGGCGGGCTCTGCCCTCGAACTGCGTGGAAGGGTGCCCGCGGCAAGGGGGAGCCCATCACCCAGCACCCACCACCCACACCCACCACCCACCCTTCAGGGCTCAGCCTCCCAACCAGGCTTCCTTTCAGAGGCTTGGGTTTCTTCTCACCATTTAATTTGCTCCCGCAGCCACGCCCAGACTGTGAATGTCCTGGGAAAAGCCGTCTAACATGGTGCCTGTGGCTTTCACCTCTCATCCAGGGGGTGACTTGATTGGCTTCCAAAAGCTCCGCTTTCATTTGTGTAAAACGAGACCCAGGAGAGGGGAGCCAGGCTCCCAGGTTTCAGCCGCCAAGCGATGGGAAGCTCTAGTTACCAAAAGGCAGCGGGGTTTGACGACCCTCCCAGGGGGATGCCCGGGCCCCTGAAGCCTGGAGGTTTGGGGACCCCGAGGTACATCAAACGGAGCACAGGGTCCGCGGGAGCGGTGGGGCTTGGGCGGGCCTCCGACCCGCGGATCACACCACGGACGGGCCTAACCCCCTGGGGGGGTGGTGAGGTGGCACAGAGTTCAGAGACTGGGCTTCATTCCTGC